CCGGTCCGCAGCTGTGAGGGCGCGGCCCCCAGCCTCGGGGCGGGAAGGGCGGAGAAGGCGCTTGAGGAGCGGCCTGGGCTCCCCTGTGGGCGTTTGCACCGAGCCTTTTCTTAGCAGAACAGGCTTTGTTAATTAGAGAACTTAACGAGAGAAAAAAAAAGATATTTTTATCACTTGGGAATGCTGCAGAAGCGGCGTGGATTGTACTGTATGAATTACTGCAGCTGAAAGCCATCGGTTTGGGCAAGGCGGTTGTGCAGAACAGCACACAAAACACGAGATACGCATTTGATTGAATGCAAGGTGGCGCATGGGGATGAGCGTGTCATCGGTGAGAATTGCTACTGCTGACTTAGCTAGGCAGTCATGCCATTTTCGCTTCTACTTGCTTTTTGCCTTTCCCAGCCTGCCAGATGCACCTTCCCACAAATGCCAACACTGGTTATTCTGTGGGGCTCAACAGCTCCTTTCTCCCTTTCTGACGAGCCTCTCGCGCAGCTCGGGGTTGTGGTTACTCACCACGGGGCGAATACATGAGTACCTTAAGGTTTTCTAACAAGTCAACGGCTTGGCATAGCTAATACTGTCATTGTTTTCTCTGAATGATAATTTTCTCCTGTAGGAATTATATCTTGAAATACTTATTTGAATTTTTCAACTGCTGGTTCAAGTTGTAAATACAAAAAGATCCTACCTCATAATAATGTCACACATGGTTGGGTTGCCTCGTACACTCACTTTACTGGAATGCTTGAAGGTATAGTCCAGTCTTTCAATTTAGGGAAATATACCATTTACTTTAGCAAACAGCAGTAACTGTATAAGAAATAGCACCAGGAAATATGATGCATCAAACATTAGGAATGCATCTATTTCACTGTTGCCTGAAAAAACCCCAAAACCCTAACACATGTTGGAAGCTGTATATTTTATAGTGTGGATGTTTTTAGGTACAAAAATGTTCTCGTACAAAGGATACGTAAGATGTGGTAAATGGTTACAGAAAAATTTGCTTGTTTGTTACATAGCAATTAGTAACCTTGAAAATGATGTAATGCAGCTTTCTTCACACTACATATGTAAATGCCTTCTTGGTTTTGCTAGTACACATGCTGCTTCCATGTTTGTATTTATTCACATTATTAAAATTAAAAAAGAAAAACTAGAATAATGTGTCAATGAATTGATACTTCTTACCATTAATCAACAATCTAGGATGATGTTCAGCCTCTAGGTTTTAACAGCACCTTTGGGAGGTGCTAATCTCCAAATTAGTTTTACATGCACAGTTCTCTAACAACTATGTATTTTTAAAATTTATATTCTGTGCCCTTATTTTAGTGTACATGGATTAAAAAAAAGCAGAGTTATCCTCTCCAGTGGTAAACCACTGGAACAGGTTGCCCAGAGAGGTAGTGGAGGCCCCATCCCTGGAAACATTCAAGGCCAGGTTGGATGGGGCTCTGAGCAACCTGATCTAGTTGGCGGTGTCCCTGCTGACTGCAGGGGGGTTGGACTCGATGACCTCTAGTGGTCCCCTCCAACCCAAAACATTCTATGATTCTATGATTCTATGATTCATTTTTGACAAAGACCTACCATGTCTTAAGGATAAAGGATACTACAGATTGTGCATCTATCAACCATAAATGTCAGTTGTATCTCAGTAACCCTTGTAATTGTTAACTTCAGAGTGAAACTTTTCTCTAGGGACACCTCAAAGGAAAAAAATCAGCTATTTAACTGTGAATGAAGACTGAATAAACATGTTTGTACTAATAATAACTAATGATTAAGTGTGTGTAAAGAGACCTTGACTTGCCTCCCTGTGAACACAAATAGGGTGGATTGAGACACATTTTTTTGTGCCGTACATAATGAAAAAGCAGGCTATAAAGAAAGGATTTTTTTCATTTTTTTTATTCACACAGGTATTAGTAAATGGTAATGTATACATTTGCCAAGTTTAGATCAAAACATACATTATATGAATAGCCAAGTTATGTAACAGAGTACCACCACTGTAAGTTACATCATATACTTACCTAAGTACAAGACCATGTATGTCAACTCAGAATATTTTAAAACTAACATGGAGCAAGGCAGAGAGTAACAATTTCATTTTGTGACTACAGGAGAACAAAACATTTAAAGCATTTTTGTGAAACAGAACTGTATCTAAATTATGTTTCTCAATTTAATAAAGTTAGGTTTTCCATTCAGCTCTGGGGTGTGTCTATGTGCATTTCTTCCTGGAGGACACCCGAGGTATTTACCATGGATCTCCCAAAATATACCCATGAAAAACAATGAATATTAATTTTTCAGCACTGTAAAACATCTCAATTAAATCTTGTGTAGAATTAAACCATTATTGACCGATCTGAATATACTCAATGTTTCTTTTGTCAGTGCTAATGTTTTCTTGGTTTGATTCTGGTAAAATAAAAAACTGACACTGGCAAATATATAGACAGTATCCAAGGCACTTATAATTAAGGATTTTTACCAGTTTTTAGTGTAGAAATCAATTTGGTAAATGTGTAGATGATTCTAATACTCCGGTCTTCAGTTAAATACTTTTACTTGCTCATAGTAGTACCTGCAGTGAACTAGGTACTGTACAAAAATAGAAGATATGAGGCCTTACTTGGGGACCTTTGTGTAAAGCTAGGAAAACTATACTATTACACAATTCCAGTGAAAAGAATTACGTACGAATTCATATTTTTTTTTAAATATTCCCTGAACTCCTTTGTGACTTTTAGCCATTTCTGTACATCAGGCCCTATTACCTATGCTAAGGAGGCAGCAGTCACCTGTCTGTGAGCTGAGATACATGTTCTGATAGTTCTTTTTTTTTTTTGTAATAAACATGTATTTCCTTAGACTGCACAGGATTGGAATATGCTAACAATATTACAAATAATAAATAGTTTTAACAATAAAGGGGACACTTTCTTAAGGGGGCTTTCACTTGATAATAAATATGACAGCATACAAGTTTCTATTTTTTTTCTTTTAAGCATGATCACCGAGGCTGACCCCAAGGCTGTTAATGCTGGGTAAGCCAAGAGACACACAAAATGATTGCTCTCTGAGAACATGTGGTGAGCATGGCACCATGAATGGGTCCACTTACTAGCTCATCTTTCACCGATTCTTTAACCCATTGCCAAAATAAATATAACAAACAAAATTCAAGTGACCAATAACAAAATTAAAGATATTTTAAATTAAAATCTTATCCCTAATTCAAAATATACAACAGTTACCATGTGAAACACTATGAGAAACCTTAACAACATGTAAAGGACACTTAGAAAAAAATAACTTCCAAAAATACTCTTATGAAGTATTAAATACTGTCTTAGAGCTCCTGACAGTGAAACTTAAAGGTTAGACTTCAAATGGTGTTATACATGCTTGTGTAGGAGAGCAGCTCATAAAGTAGACTAACATAGCTTAAATTATTTACTTACAAATATGTTCAGTGCAATTCAAATTGAGACTGAGCTATGTAGAACGCATCTGAGAACTTGCATAAAAATTCCCCTTTCTTGTAATGCAGTGTTTTTGAGTATGTGGACTAAGATGATATAGAATAGGATAGATTCATTTTAAAGCTGAAACCTACTCCAATCTCTCTGAAGACTTCTGTCTGCTCGCACAGAGGGGGATAACGATAAAGGTTATCGCTACCTGGTTGCTGATCAGTGCTTGCCCTATAACTTCTAGGGCTGTGTTTTAATAAGACATACATTATATGTAGGCACTTTCTGAAATACCCTGCAAAAGGATCGTAAATTATTTTGGCAATTGTTTGTGTTTGCCATGTCTTTTTTACATTGCAGATGAAAAGGAAGAAGGCATTTCTGTTTAGAGAATGGCACTGTGCTTTAATCTGCTTTAGAACAGACACTTTCTGTTTCTTCTCAGTGTGATCACTTTTGTTTTCTTCAGTCAGGGCTAATGTTTCTGATCCAAATCTGCTACTTAAACTTACATGAAAGGTACACTTTTATCATCTTTCTAATGAAGAGACAGTCCTTATTTCTTCTCCTGAGTTGGCCACTGCTAATAAATCCATCCAATTTATGATTCAAAAAGTTCAGAACTGTTTAATTTGTCTTCTTCATACAGTAAAATATTTTCCATTAGCTTCTTTTTTTGATCGTTTATCTGTATTTTCCATGATGTCTCTCTGGCTAATGCTGAAAAACAAAAAAGCCCAAATATTGAGGAAAAAATCCATCTATTGTCTAAGGAATAGATGATAATTTTAAATGAAAAAAAGCAACAAACCAAAACTCGCTTAGGAAGAAAATCTGCTAGAAAAACAGAAAGCATTTTGTAGATTTATTGGTAAAATCATAACCAAGGAGAAAAGATTTACTGAAATGTGCTTAGAAGTAGGAAAAAGAACCAAAGCAATTCTGGAGAGGAGAGGAATTTGCCCCTACTCTTCTAATACTAGAGCACTTTTACAAAGACTTCGGTTATCGCAACAGGAGCATGGGCAGTTTGGCCAAACCAGCTTGAAGATCATATGCTTTTGAATGCTCTGCATGCACCCTTCAGACTTATCTAGATTTACCTTGTGAAGAACATGAAGCATCAAGGTCTCTGTTTTTTTGTTGAAAGGTGCTCTGTGCAGTCGACGCTGTTTCCAAGACGTCACTTTTGATGCATGCCGCGTTTCTTTCCTGGAGTCCATTTGCAGGTTTTTCCAGCTTGATCCTGTAATCAGAGGCTGCCATATTTTCAGAATTGTTACAGCCATTGCTAGATAGCTCATCTGTAGATCTTTCTGAAGGATTCCATATAAAACTACTTGATTCGTCTGATTCACAAGGGACCCTTGACATTTGTCCGCAGTAAATGTCAGGTGACACAACTCCTATTAAAGGTGTGCATGGATTGGCACTTGTCAGGATCGCTGGCTGTGTGCTGTCGTCTTTATTCTCTCCCGCAGAAGGCATATCCACGCTGAGACTGGTTGTCTCATCATCAGTTTCTTCTGGAGTGTTCATGGAGAATCCAGAAATGCTGCCTCCACAGATGTAATGCTCTCTTAATTTATTTTCAGCTGCTTCCATAATTCCAAGCACCTGTTTTTAACAACAAAATCTGTAAATGCAGAGTAATTCCTGTACCCCTGCTTACACATATTTTCCTATGTCAACGCTCTCAAAAATAAGTAAGGCATGAATATTGTAGCTTTAGACCTTGCTGTCAAGAAGACTAAAGTCTTGGTCATGTATTTAAAATCTTACCTCTGCTATGTTAGAATTCTTCTTTCTCAGGCAAAGGCAGATGGCTGAGGCAAAATTGATAGCAACCTCTTCCAGCAAGTGTCCTGCTTTCCTGTCTAGGTATTTGCAGCATATTTCCTTGGCAGCTAGCTTTTCAAAATTTTTTGCTTTGGAGTATGAGCTTTCTTTCGCTATTTGAATTTCATCAGCAATCATATCTTTCTGTTCAAAGGAAAGAGATACATTAGTGAAGGCAAAATTAACACAAACTTTTATTTCTGAATCACTGAGAATACGAGTCTTTCTATATATTTGTTATTATTTTTCCTTAATGGCTGGTTTAGAGACCTAAAAGCTTTAGGAATCTCCATTCATGCAACTGACAGAAATGTTTGTTTTCACCGGATAGAAAAGGCCAAAGGTTTTCTCTGCATGTGTCTAATGTCAAATTCACCAAAGCAGACCCAGCTCTTGTAGGCTTATGCCCATTTATAGGAATGAAAAATAAACAATGCTGTATATAGCAGCATTCTTGCACAGGACTTTTCAAGTATTTGTTAAAGAAATCAGAAACCTAGGATCCTTTATGTTCTGAACCCATTTGAACATTGCTGAATTGCTTGGAAATAATAAGAATACTATCGTTTTCCCCTCAAAGGCTTCAACAGGATGGCAAATCAGAAGGAGCATATCCCATAGGAGGAATATAGGTGGAATCTGTTTTCAGGAAGATGGTGTTAATGGCATTCAGTGAGCCTGGCCAGTTCTGGTTGCTTGTGAAAGTAGCTGGTATAGTCCTAATCACAGCTTGGGCAAATTGGCCGGGATATAAATTCCAGACACCAGTGCAATACATAAACGCTTGACAAACCTGATGATGAGCGACTGCAGTTACCGCCTACCCAGGTTTCCCCATCCCGTTTGGCTCATAACACCTCCCTCTGGCACATTAAAGCCATGCAGCAGCATTTCATCACAAAGCCTCGTCTCTTAAATAAGCATGTATTTAAACACCAGTTATTCTGGAGTACCTCCTAATATAATCAGGCCAGCACTCAGGGGTGTGGTATGTGAAATGGGAATATATATTCTGCTTCTATCTAAAGGCAGTTAGGCTATTGATGTTGGCAGAACCAGGAGATGGTTTCTAAACATCCCCTCTTCAGGATGTGTACAGCAGACTGCAAATAACAAACTGTATTTATATAAAATGAAAATTCATATTACGACAGCAACCCCATTCACTCATGTTGGTATTCATTATTCCTGCTTTTTCTTACCAGGTAAACAGGGTGTCTTCCTTCATCCAGTGCCTTAATCCCTGTCAGTATCTCTGCTAAGACCTAGAATGTATATTTGAAAGATAAAACAACCTGTTCAGAATTAATTCTACTTCTAAAAATGAGTTTAGTAACTAAAGAAATATTGAACTGCCAGGGCATTTAGAAATTATATTTTTACTTGAGATGATTTAGCAATGCCAGATCTGTGCAATCTTTATGACACTTTACATCTACCTCGAGCGCCAAGTCCAAATTTTATAGTTAGGTACAATAGATATTGTTGAAACAAAGGATGAGAAGAAAGTAATTCTAAATCTAGCTAAGAAATCACACTGAACAAAGTAACTTCCTATTTAAAGGGAAACACCTGGAGACAGGTGATTTCACAGAGTTGAAATTCCAGATTAGCAGGTGATGTTTGCAGGAGTTCATGTGGCAAATCCGCAAGAATTCTGAGAACCTAACTGCAGTCTTTCTGCTATCCCTTTTTTTATTTTTAAAACGATCAGCAGTAATAATTTTGTTGCAATACGAAACAATTTTGTTTCTCTTGTTCAAAAGATTCACCTCACTTTGCCACAAACTGAAGTAGATTTGCAGTGTGAACATAATTTAAAAAAAGGATTTCAACACATTATATCGTCAGCAACTATGATATGAAATTGCAGGCAAAACAACTATATGAGGCACATGCTGTTATACCCAGTTTCCTGCCTAGAGGCACCAAAGAATGCAACAGAACGTGGAAAAAAGGCAACGTACCACACCACAGCTAAATACATCAACTTTTTCTGTTAACTGCCCGTGTCTGATAAAATCTTCTGGCAGATAAGTAAGAGAAGCTTGTAGGACTTTGGTTTTCATCACAGCATATTCTGATTTTTTATCAACAGAATACAATCGCAGACCTGAATGTCCAAGCTTTGGTGTAAAGTTTTCGTCCAACAAGACATTTGAGCTGTGATAAAGACAGACAAACAACAATATTGGTCAAGTAATTACTTGACCTTGAGGTAAAGAATTACATTTTTTTCTCTTTTAAACTTAAGCACTGAATGTTTCCAGCATTTGGCCTGCTGTGTATGAATTAAAGGATAAAGAATGGTAAAAAGGGAGAGGGGGAAGAACAAGCACTCAAAATATCACTTCAAAAGAATGTACTTCCATCATTTAGAAGAGAGAGACAGATTAAACATAAAACGGTCAACACCCTACAGAACAAGAGAGAGCAGAAAGGTACTGCAAATGGATTTCAAAATTGCATAAGCTTTCAGCCATTATTGTTAAAGAAATCCTGGAATGATCAGGTGACCAAGGAAGTGCTGATATGCCAAACCCCTCACCTTTTGATATTCCCATGAAGAATTCTAAAATTATGTAAATACTCCACAGCTCGGATGAGTCCTACAGCAATGCTGGCTCGCATCTCCCAGGTCAGTGGAGCAGAATCATCCTGCAAGGAAGTGAGGAAAATGGCATTTTATAGAATAAAAAACTGTAAGACATTTGTAGTTTTGAAAACCAAGGATTTAGTTTTAGTCCCAGTCAAAACTCCTGCTGACCTGAATCAAAAGTTTGGTCCAAGGCAGAAACCGATGATTTCTAGGCCAAGGAAGGAACCTGTTCTTACACACTGTGCTGCACATTTTGCCTGCCATAGGGCACGGTGAGATAAGGGTACAGCATGGATCACACTTGTCCAGAGCATCGAGTACTGGCCATTAGTGAGACATAGTGCTGGTTTTGATGGATTGCTTTTCTGATGTTTCTCTGCCCTGTGATCTCTGCAAATGCTCTTCCAGTAGGTGTGAACATCTCAAACTGTTCCCTCTTAAGTCCTTGTAAAACTTCATAGCATGTTATACCAATGAATATGATGATGGATTCTACAGAAATATTCCCAAATCCAATGAAATATTACAATATGAATAGACACATTTTGCAGATTCCTTATTACTTTAAAAATCTAAAGGCTGCACAGCAGAAACTTCCTCTTGACCTGATCTGCTCTGCAATAGAAAAACTGGGAAAGAGCTGCAGCCTTTCTAGTACTTGCAGTCAAGACATTTGGGCACCTTTTTTTTTTTTTGACTGTTTCTCCAAATTCAAAGAGATATAATTGCTTTTCATACAATAGCAGGACAGGACTTGTAATCACAGGTAGATGATAGACCCAGATTATTTGCTTACTTGATACTGAAGTTTGTTTTGTAGGGATCCATTAGGCAGGTATGGATATATCAGACAGTGCAATCCAGCTTCTATTGAGAAACCCAGCAGCTGCAAAATGTTGACATGACAACACCTGCAGGCACACATCAACAATGATTTGCAAATGAAATAAGAGCAACACAGAAAATTACATTCCTGAGCTGTTATAAATTCCTGAATTCCAGGCAACTGGGAATTGTGTTCTGCAGCTGGAAGCACAGAATGGCCCTGGGCAGGACCGCAGGCGGCTAACTAATCCAGCAGCAAAGAGAGAGATCATTATGGCCCCGTTCCGAGCAAGCAGGAGGGATACAAAGCTCCAGAAGGCACCACTTCCTCACCATCTCAAGGACTGGCAGCGTGGCTGCGTTTGCTCAGCAGGGACCTGCAGCATCACCCAGAGGCAAAGGCAGTGCATAACCCCACTGTCCCCAGAACAGCACAGTGCCTGGGAGACAGACACATCAATCTTAAGCTAAACACAGGGGCAACAGGCCACATGCAGGATACGCGCAGGCTGCGTCTGAAAGCCAGCCACGTACCGGAAGCAAATCTGTACTTCCGTATGAAAGAATCTTTGGGTGGAATTTGGGCTTGTGCATTCCATCTGAAAAATGAAAACATGCAATAGAATGTCAATACTAATTATGAAGATGCTGCATTTACACAGATGTTTTAGTCTGTAGATGACAAGGCAGGAAATAGGCAAGTATCACTGATGGCAACTTTGTGTCAAAGGCAACAATTAATTGAAAATTAGAACAAAAACCAGTGTAAAGACACCTCTGATCCAGTCATGAATGCAGGTAGCTACACTGCAGGCTACTCCCACAGATAGAGTTAAAACTACTTATACAGGTAAAGTATCTCTCGTATGTGTTTGCTGAATCTAGGTTTACTTACTTTACGTCGTTTCCTTTTTATCTCTCCTCCTGTGCAGCTGTTCTGGTTCCTTCCCCATGCAATATTAAACAACAACTGCTAAGGTTCAAGAGATACTAATAACACAACCCCTTCAAAGGAAAAGTAAAGGTGGAGTACTTGCCTCTTTCAGTCTTTTGATGACATACGCTATGTTGTTCCTCTGACCTTTGTAGACATCTGCAAAAGTACCTTCACAAATTCTGCTTTTGTCACTGAAACCATTTGTGGCATTGGTAACTTCCCTCTGGGTCCACAAAAGGCTCCCACTGGGGAGATCAGTCATTGTCTCCTGCTGAGGAGTAGAAGAGCTGCAAGGCTACACATTTGTAGAAGAAACAAGTTTATCTTATGAAGATTCATATGCTTTTTCCTTTCTTCAGGTGTCATATTTTCTATTCTATGATTTAAGCAATCACTGTGATTGTTGAAAGAAACTGTGAAAGGGACTGTGCAATCACTCCCTACGGCTTCCCTTTGTAATACCTGTCTTGATGTGTTTTGCTGATGTTAAAATTTTGCATAGTAGAAGAGACTTGAAAACAGTTACTGATTTGCATTTCCACCTTTCCCAGAAAACAGACTTAGTTTTATTTAAAAGTCCATATATTTATTTGAAGTGGTGTTAGTTTAAGCTACAAAAAATACTAATCTTTTTGGCTGTGGCATATATTAAGATCAGAAAGTAGGGTCCCTCATGTGTTTGTGTTCTGGAAGGAACTTCACATCTACTTCTGAAGCATCTGGCATCACTTGCACAATAATTCATTGCTTCCAGTGTGGCAAGTCCTAACGCCAATTCTTATTACAGTTCCACTGTAGCCTAATCATGCAGCTTTCACAACCTTAATGTGCTCCAGACTTGAGAAAACAAAACATTAACTCCCTCTCAAGAAACTCTGAAACTACTGCATTCTTTGTAGCAATCTTCTCTTCTGGATGGTACTCCTGAACCAAGTTATCTTGGAAGAGTTTAAAGTCTTGAAAGACAATCTTCTTCTAAAAAACTCAAACAAAATAAACCAAAGAAAACAGGCCAAGACAGAACCGTGATGGGACCAGAGTGTGCACATGGACCTGGGAAATACTGAGAACCCACGGGACAGATCTAGCTAGACTATCTTGAAGGCAAGAGAGCTATAGGGAGGAAGGAACAGGAGACTTGTGTACTGAAACATTAGAAACATGAGAACAACTTAGCACAGTGAGACAGTTAAGCACTGGAACCCCTGTTCAGTGAGGGGCTCAGAGAGGCGATGGAACCTCCATCCTAGGAGATTTTCAGTTGTCAGCTACACAACGCTCTGGGCAACCTGACTTAAATTTGATACTGGCCCAGTTTTGAGCAAAAACCACATGTAAAATATAAAATTAAACTAAAAGAAGTATGCCATTCTGACTAGTCAGTGGTATATATTGCGCTGTCCTATGACCACACCAGAAATGTTAAGTCCTCTGTAAAAAGTATACTGGAAATTCCTTCAAAATTAATTGTTATTTGTGGGCATGTTATCCATGCTGAGCTATGTAGTATGCAATATTGTTAATTTTTTCCCTCGCTGGTCCTTCACTGGCAAAAAAAGTGATGTAAATCATAAGGAATCTAACTGAAGCATTAGTATTATATTCAGTACCAAACAAATAGTAATCAAGCCCCACTTTTTCAGTAGATCTGTATTTCATACAAGTAGAGGGATGGACTTTAATTGAAAAAACACAGAATGTCATAAAGACAGTTTTCATTGTTATAATCAATGAGCACTAAAGGGATTTACCTTCACGCTGGATGAGACAGAGGGATTTGACTGTAAGGATTTCAAAAGGTCTCTTGGGGGAGGTGGTGGAGCAGGGAGTGAATACAAGGCTCCTTCAGAAACAGCACCTGAAATTGAAATAACAGCACTGAAAATACACCTTATTTCTATAATACCACCACCTGTGACTTATTATGAAGGTCTGGGGAATTTTGTTGAATTTCCTAACCAGGGATAATCTGTGACAAGGTGTCAAAATGTGAAACACTGTGTGAAGATAGGGAGCTGTTTTCCTGGTTCCTCTTTGCAAGATGACTACACAGATGTCTCTAGTCCTGGCTCAGGGCCATAGAGCTCTCTATGTCTATACTGTTGGTCCGATGCTCTCCTCAGTACGTCCTGTGGTTCTGCTCCCTCCCTTTCCCAGGCAGAGCGGCCTGCTGACCTGTGCACGGCTCTCTTCTGGCCTAGATTTATTTTGCATGGAGAGCAGGACATGGGGCAGGAAGTGTCTGCATTGATCTAGTCTTAGTATGGAGCCAGGATGGGACCAGGGTGTTCACAGAGACCTGGGAAATGTCTTGAGATCCCACGGGATAGCTAGAGCCAGCATCTCTCAAGGCCAAGAGAGCTATAGGAAGGTGAAAGAGGAGGCTGTGTGCTAAAAATAGGGATAAACAGCTCAGGAGACAACAGTGCTAGGAAAAAGGCAAATACTCAAATGTGACCATTTTGAAGAGCAATATATTCATTGCACTATATTGAAAGGCAATGGGAAGCAGTCTTGCCTATATGGTCACTTCAATGTTAGAGCAAATTCAGAATCTATTGTTTTACTTCCTACCTGCTAGTGATACTCCCAGATGTGAAGAGTCTGGTGATGGCAACAGACTTATCTCATTTCCTCTCTCTCTCTTTTTGTTTTCTGTAGGAGATAAAGATATGTTCGCCTGTTTAGGCGGCTCTACGAGCTCTTCTTTTTCAGAGTTGGTAATATTAGAGGCTGATGTCCCTTCAAAAGAGAACAAAGGAAAGATGAAGATTACCAGGGAAAAGAGAGTCAGACTCTAATCAGTTACCAGGAAATGATCCTAGTCAGGAAAACAGACTGTATCTTAAGATGGACATGAAAATGAACATTCAAGCAATTTATTGTTAAATTGCTGGAATACTACTGGTATTTAAATTCAGACCATATTCATGACATTAACTACTACTGAAGATTAATAAGAAGTGGTAGCTTCAAACAAATACCAGTGATGACTATGCAAAAGATATATAGTCTCTTACAATAAGACATTACCAATAATAGTATATTTATTTTGTCATTTTCTATATAGCATCCTTCAGCCAAAGATCTCAAATCATAAATATCTCCCAGCCTAAAGAAGGCATCTAGTTCTTTGCTAATTGTCATGGGACTGAGCGGAAGATTGACAGAATTGTGTTGGATTTAGTCAGTTAAATATTTTAGGGCTACTTTCAACTGTGTGGTTTTAGTGTCATGACCGTGCTGGTTCCCAGAAAACGCTTTCCTATATAGGACTATTTGCAATAAAGAATCATACTTTTACTCATGAACAGAAAGAAACAAACTGGAGACAATCTAGGGAAAACATAAAAATGGTCAAAAGTCAAGACTTACTGATACATAAAGAAAAATTACAGGCCAAATTACCAATTCACTACAGCTCTATGAGACCCTATGTTGTATACAACTTGGTAAAGTATCAGAATCAGGCCTGATTGAAAAAGCGACCTGAAGTCTGATTAAAAGAAGTACAAAGATGCTTTCAGTGTACAGGGACTTGAAAAGTGTGTACATCCTAGAGGGGAATTATTAAAATGAGATTAGGCTACAGTTAGGATGGGAAAAAAATTAAGTAAAAACATCCAAGATACTGTGATATACAAGGCTGTCAAAATCTCCTGAAGAAGCAGCTGAATTCTTATCCATGAATACATTTAAAACCGAGGCTGAAAAGGAGCTCAGAAATGCCCAATGTACACTGGGTGTGATATAAAGACTTTCTACTGCCCGATGACAACCATTTTCCTGTTTGTAGTTCTAAATTTGTGTTTCTACCTGGCAGCTGGTATCAGCAATACATTTAGCATTTTCTTAAAAATCAAAATGTTTTATTTGTATATAAAAGAAAATAAGCACAAGTATTAATACAGGGGGGTTTGTCATGCTCTTTTATCAGCTTTGTATCTTAAGCATGGTGGTGATCTTGGAATCAAAAGCCGCAGGCCTCTGTTTGCATATCAAATCAGATAATAGCTTTGTGTTCTTTTTTTTGTACATGCTTTTTTTGAAGCATTGGGAGTATCTGAATGAAGCAGGAAGCGGTATGTTTCATTTATAATCTGTGCTCCTTATAGTAAACCAAGATTCAGTAGAACAGTATAAGAGAAGACAAGCTGTGACAGGTTCAGTGTGCTAAAGTTTGAAGAGTAGGAGTATATGAAAAGCCATAATGGTAGAAGCAGGCATGTTCAGGTCTGGCAAGTTTTTTCCTTTGACCTGTGTTTGGGGTTTCTATCCACCTTCTTCAAAGTCACCTATGAATGCAGGTTTGAATGAAACTAGGTCTTAAAATTAAAACTCAGAAGAATCAGGTATGTTTCTTTGTTACTGCATCAGAATGCTATGAAATCCCACATTTTACAGGTTTTGAAATTAGCCATCAAACCGTCTGCAGGCCTTTAGTAAAAACCGACAGTGCCTGTATTCTGCAGTTGTTGGCTTTTTCCTCCTGTACTTTAACCTAGAAACGTCTAAAGTTAGAATCACTTCCCTCTTTCAACCTATTTTTCAGGGTCTTTCATTAATTTTGCAACTTCCTGCACATGAGACAAACAGGTCACCACTGAAGCTAAAGAACTGACATAAGAAAAAAAAATATTATTACGGCCATTCAGAAGTGGGACTAGAGCAGTGCAAGAAATTGTTGAAGAGAGGTAGAACCCTTCTGGAAGTAATCTGCCAGCAAAACATCTACCTGCGTGTTTTGTCAGATTCCTTTAAGTCAGAATTAATAACATTATGGTGATGTAAGGACCACTTAGTTTTCTAAGTTGCCCAATAGAACAATGTACTCTCCGTATCTGCCCAAGAGGAATCACCTGAGTAAGCATATTCAGATATAGATAAAAAAGCAGAAGTAGAGGGTAAGGGCTTCAAAGATTTGTCTAAACCTAAAAATATCCTGCTAGAAATCACTTCTGCTTATGACTGAGCACATGGTGGAATGCCTGTATTGGGTTAATTCCAGAAAAAAACAACTACTGCCACATGGCAGAACAACAAATAATCCAGACTTTCTGCCACTCAAATTAACAGGAAGTTTTGCTATGGATTTCAATATAAAAGAAAACTATGAGAAGTTTTTTTAAAAGATCATTTTATTGTAGTTTTGCAATTTATTGCACTTGATTTGATCTGGGACAAAAATTAATATTGATCATCCAGAAACATAACTAAAAATTGAACACAGGATTTGTCTCTTCCATCCTCTTTTAAACCCTTTTTATCTAGCCTTCTGCCCCGGTTTTGTCTGCGATAATAGTTCATTTTCTTTCTAGTAGCTGGCATAGTGCTTCATTACAATAATAATAGTAATTATAATATTGATAAAAGAATATACAAACCAAGCGATGCACAGTGCAATTGCTCACCACCCACTGACCGATGCCCATCCCGTCCCCGAGCAGCGATCGCTGCCCCCAGCCAGCTCCCCCAGTTTCTGTACTGGGCATGACGCCCTATGGTCTGGAATAGCCCTGGGGCAGCCGTGTCCCCCCCCAGCTCCTTGTGCCCCTGGCAGAGCAGGGGAAGCTGGAAAGTCCCTGCCTGGTGTCAGCCCTGCTCAGCACCAACTGAACCATCCAGGTGCTATCCACGTTCTTCTCAGGCTAAACCCAAACACAGCTCTGCCAGCTGCTGGGGAGAAAATTAACTCTGTTCCTGCCAAAACCAGGACAGTTTCATATTGCTTTACAGAATTCAGAGTCAAACCCAAACTCATTCCTAACTCCTCATGAAGCCCTCCATGGAACAGTCCAATACTGTAGTTCACTCCTTGTCACAAAGGAAATCAGAGAAACAAAGGTATGGTAGATCTATTACACCAGTTCAGTGACTTAATGAGCTGAACTGAGTATGTCTGTTTCTTGACACGATCTCTTAATATTTGCTTTCCCTAGTTACTATCTAGCCTGCAGAAACCATCATAAAGACTCTTGTTTACGTGTATCAGCCAACTGCTTTTCCTTAGAAATCACAAAGAGGTGTATTCCTTCAGCCTGGAGGAGGTTGACTGAGTTTTATTTTTAAGAGGGGGAAAACCCTCAGGTTTTGCAGCTTGTGCAAGTGAAGTCCAGAATGTCTCAGAAATGTTTCTGAGAAAGCCCCCCCCCCAAAAAAAAGGTAAATCAGAGAAGCACAAGAGAAAGCAGGTAATTCCCTCTTGTACCAGAGGCTGAAGTCAGGAGCATATTGCGCAAGCCACGCTGATGCTGCCATACCACTTGAAAGCAAGCCAGTCAGACGAACAGCAGGATGATGAATGTTTCTGTGCAGTGATGATGATTATTTCTGTCTGTGTTGTATCTTTGTTTTTAATGGTGATGTTGCTGGAAGCTGCTCTTGGATTGAAGTCTGATTCTTTGCGTTCTACATAATCAGAGAGACAAATCTTTCTTGGTTCTTGTGTAAGCAATCCTGTCAGGGGCTTTAAAATGCTGTCTCTCAGGATTTGATCCAGTGCCACATTCTGGCCTTTGCACACAGGACCAGGCCTAACGATCAGGGATGCTCTGCGCAGCCTCTGGGCTTCCAGGGGGGCATTTTACTGAAGGTGCTATACATCAGATGATTGAATCCCACAATGTTGTGGTCTGCAAGCAATGGCTCTCTGAAATTAAATACATGAAGCTGCTCTTGGAGTAATTCACCACTGCAAGGTGCTGAACTAATCTCAGTGTGAAATCTACTCATGGTCTAGTTTTAAAGGCCTGTAAGAGAAGAGAAAACCCTCTACCTTGGGGTAAAAGCAGCAGCATCTCTGTTGTTGTAACAAGTAATTTTTCTAAGCTCTTTAAACTCAGCTTTTGCAAAAATGGAAAATTAACCCACACAGGAAAGAAAAGGCATCGTACCTAATGAGCAAAACCAGCCTTTCCCACGACAGATACAAATTATGTTGAAAATTGTTGCCACTATTACACAGTGGTAAAAACATTCAGTAATTTTTTCAGTTCAGTTTTTATGTTTCTCAGAAGGAGAATGCAGTTGTGGTTTTTTTTAAATTATTAAATCACAATGTATAAAGTGTGATTAGAGAAATGTTAATGAACTCTGTAAAGGAATACACTGAAATAAGCCAGCCATAAACAAAGGCGGGTCCCAGAATGTGCTCTGACAGGGAAAGAAGGCAAGGCCTGTAAGTAATGAGCGATCAAGGTGTGGTAGGTTATAGGGTGTTATACAAGAGCACCCAGAAACTCTCTTTACGGACGAGGAATCAACTGTGTTAAATACTGAGCAGGCACAGAGCAAAGGTGTCGTCACATCGTGGAGGTCACCCTCTACTCCAGAGTATCCGTAAAAATGCCATTGTCAGGGAGCCAGGCTTGTTGCACTGGTGGTATCTAGATAAGATTTATTTGATGTATAGATTAAAGAAATAAAAAAATCCAGATTTTGTTTTCAATCCTGTCTACTCAGACTGGGCCCTCAAAGTCACTCACTGTGACTAAATTAACGATTAGATTACTGATAGACAGACGGAAAGAGATTGGAGTTTCCTGTAGCTTGCTTTGCATTGCTGAGGAATGAGGAGTAAGAATTGTTGCAGTCTCCTAAGCTGAATGCTGGGCCTGAATTCAGTCAGAAGGTGGATCTGCTGAGGGAGAAGGCTGCATACGAGTGATGCCAAAATCAGTTACACTAACTGAGCAACGCTCTCCTCAGGGCCTGTGGTTATTGTGTTTGATAATGTACTAAGGCAGAGTTTGCATGCAGGTTGGTTGTGCTGTAGTACTTAATATTCCTTTTAAAAAAAAAAGAAAACAAACATTTAGAATACCATGTTAAAGCTTTTTTCTGCCATACCAAAAGGAAGGTGAAAAGTCATGCTAATGCCAGGAAACTCCAGAAAAACAGCAGTGCTATGCAAACAAATGCTGTGGCAAGAAACCCATGATGCACTGCTGGACTTTCCATGAGAAATGTCTCTGGCTGCTGCGGGGCAAATGCCAGCTGCACCTCTGACGGCTGGCAGCCCTGCCTGCGGAGGCAGGCTGCTGTTTCGCAACAGCCGCTCGTGATGCAACTCAAAAAACCACCCGTGTCGCTGACAGTTTCCCTGTCACAGAACGTGAAAAGAAGAATGAGCGTTTCCCACATGCACCTGGGAAGTACCTTAGAGTACTTCTCTAAGCGTTTTTGGCCATGCAACAAAAATCTGTAATTTTTCTTTCTAGTAATTCTCTATGGAGCACTGGCAAAATTCATACAAACATCTGATTTCAGGAGAGCTTGAAAAGGGGAGTGTGGTCCACTCCCAGCTTTCTGGGGCAACTCAATACAGAAAGACAGTATGTTGTCCAGGGCTCAATGGATTTTGTGGTAGAGCTGGGTGAAGGTACGCTTTGGCTTACAAAAATGGACAGCTGCAATTTAAAGATAATTTCCAATGGAGAAAAATGGAAAGGAAAATTATATTTAAAAGTGTTGTGATTTCTGTAAGGCAATTGATTACCTTAACTAGGCACACTGAGTTCAAGCTCTGATCATCCTACCTCAAAAAGATAAATCTGAAATAGAGAAAACTGGAGATAGGTGAGAAGAATTACATGCAAAGAGTTAGCAAAGGCTACAGTTGTTTAATTTACGGAGGGATCAAGGAGAACATATGATAGGAATAGAGAAAATAGGAAGTGGGATAAAGAAATAATAACGTAGGTAGTCAATAAACCATTTCTCTTTTTCATAACTGTTTTGTTATGGTGCAGGAAAGCAGGTGGCATAGGCAAAACTCATTATATGTTTTTCTACTCTGTTGACAATTAGAGTATAATGACAGAATTTCACAGAGAAACAAGAATGTATGAAAAATTAAACCATTTGTAATTAAGCTCTGTTTTGAAACCCTGTCTGATGCATGAAAGTACCAGCCCTGGGTCAGAGCACAGCCAATCTCTCTTTGGCACCTCTCAAAGCATCTAAGATGGCCACCACAACGGTGGGGTGATGAACCTGTGGGACCAGTGATTCCTCCTCTATGTCACCTCTTCCTTTCCCATCACAAATTTTATTTGAGAGAGCAGTGGAGAAATGTTAGAATTTGAGCATGAGACTCCCAGCAAAAAGTTTCTTCAGCTAGCAAGACAGATTTACTGGATTGGGTCTAGGTGCTCCGAGAAGCAGCATGGACTCCCCGCGGGAGGAAGGGGCAGCTACTCACAGTCCAGAATGACTTGAGCCGCTCGGTAGAGCTGCAGTCCTTGCAGGAGCTCCAGGAGCTGCTGCACCGTCGCCAGCCTCACTCCCCACCACCACATGAGCTCTCTTGTTATGCTGATCCCCGTCTTCTCCATGCACTTGATTTTCCGTAGCTCTGTTTGATCAGTTATCACGTACGAGGCTAGTGGGAGAGAATGGATATTTCTGTTTAAAAATTAGAAAAAACGAGCAAGTGCAAGCAGGGAAAGCTAAGGTGCAAGACACACTTTGCATTTTCATTTGCACACTTCTAAAAGGAAGGATCACAATAAATTAGCTATCTATCTGGACATGAAGACAATTCAGTTCCTAAAGTAAGATATTCCTTTTATTCCTTTGACTATTTTGGAAAAAATGTTGTTATATTAGAGACCCAAAAAGAAAACCCAGTCACACTTTTCAGCATATTTTCCCCATAATCTAACTTAACACTTCGTACCAAAATAAGTTCAGATTAAATTCCTGGTGCGATTCTCCCCAAATAGGTAACAGAAATCAGTGGTGAGTCTGCACTCCCGTCTGCATTACTAAAGACCAATATTACGGAAAACCAAATAGTAACTGAACCATCTGGGTGTTATTTACAGTCGGATAAACCTATCAGTGAAACGCAGCTATTTTTTAGAGCAGGAGATACCGTGAATGTACTAAGGCAGAGTTTGCATGCAGGTTGGTTGTGCTGTAGTACTTAATATTCCTTTTAAAAAAAAAAAGAAAACAAACATTTAGAATACCATGTTAAAGCTTTTTTCTGCCATACCAAAAGGAAGGTGAAAAGTCATGCTAATGCCAGGAAACTCCAGAAAAACAGCAGTGCTATGCAAACAAATGCTGTGGCAAGAAACCCATGATGCACTGCTGGACTTTCCATGAGAAATGTCTCTGGCTGCTGCGGGGCAAATGCCAGCTGCACCTCTGACGGCTGGCAGCCCTGCCTGCGGAGGCAGGCTGCTGTTTCGCAACAGCCGCTCGTGATGCAACTCAAAAAACCACCCGTGTCGCTGACAGTTTCCCTGTCACAGAACGTGAGAAGCAGATGGTGCTCCCGCACATTTTCCACCTGTGGAAGCGTACGCCCTCATAGGCTATGAGCGTTTCCCACATGCACCTGGGAAGTACCTTAGAGTACTTCTCTAAGCGTTTTTGGCCATGCAACAAAAATCTGTAATTTTTCTTTCTAGTAATTCTCTATGGAGCACTGGCAAAATTCATACAAACATCTGATTTCAGGAGAGCTTGAAAAGGGGAGTGTGGTCCACTCCCAGCTTTCTGGGGCAACTCAATACAGAAAGACAGTATGTTGTCCAGGGCTCAATGGATTTTGTGGTAGAGCTGGGTGAAGGTACGCTTTGGCTTACAAAAATGGACAGCTGCAATTTAAAGATAATTTCCAATGGAGAAAAATGGAAAGGAAAATTATATTTAAAAGTGTTGTGATTTCTGTAAGGCAATTGATTACCTTAACTAGGCACACTGAGTTCAAGCTCTGATCATCCTACCTCAAAAAGATAAATCTGAAATAGAGAAAACTGGAGATAGGTGAGAAGAATTACATGCAAAGAGTTAGCAAAGGCTACAGTTGTTTAATTTACGGAGGGATCAAGGAGAACATATGATAGGAATAGAGAAAATAGGAAGTGGGATAAAGAAATAATAACGTAGGTAGTCAATAAACCATTTCTCTTTTTCATAACTGTTTTGTTATGGTGCAGGAAAGCAGGTGGCATAGGCAAAACTCATTATATGTTTTTCTACTCTGTTGACAATTAGAGTATAATGACAGAATTTCACAGAGAAACAAGAATGTATGAAAAATTAAACCATTTGTAATTAAGCTCTGTTTTGAAACCCTGTCTGATGCATGAAAGTACCAGCCCTGGGTCAGAGCACAGCCAATCTCTCTTTGGCACCTCTCAAAGCATCTAAGATGGCCACCACAACGGTGGGGTGATGAACCTGTGGGACCAGTGATTCCTCCTCTATGTCACCTCTTCCTTTCCCATCACAAATTTTATTTGAGAGAGCAGTGGAGAAATGTTAGAATTTGAGCATGAGACTCCCAGCAAAAAGTTTCTTCAGCTAGCAAGACAGATTTACTGGATTGGGTCTAGGTGCTCCGAGAAGCAGCATGGACTCCCCGCGGGAGGAAGGGGCAGCTACTCACAGTCCAGAATGACTTGAGCCGCTCGGTAGAGCTGCAGTCCTTGCAGGAGCTCCAGGAGCTGCTGCACCGTCGCCAGCCTCACTCCCCACCACCACATGAGCTCTCTTGTTATGCTGATCCCCGTCTTCTCCATGCACTTGATTTTCCGTAGCTCTGTTTGATCAGTTATCACGTACGAGGCTAGTGGGAGAGAATGGATATTTCTGTTTAAAAATTAGAAAAAACGAGCAAGTGCAAGCAGGGAAAGCTAAGGTGCAAGACACACTTTGCATTTTCATTTGCACACTTCTAAAAGGAAGGATCACAATAAATTAGCTATCTATCTGGACATGAAGACAATTCAGTTCCTAAAGTAAGATATTCCTTTTATTCCTTTGACTATTTTGGAAAAAATGTTGTTATATTAGAGACCCAAAAAGAAAACCCAGTCACACTTTTCAGCATATTTTCCCCATAATCTAACTTAACACTTCGTACCAAAATAAGTTCAGATTAAATTCCTGGTGCGATTCTCCCCAAATAGGTAACAGAAATCAGTGGTGAGTCTGCACTCCCGTCTGCATTACTAAAGACCAATATTACGGAAAACCAAATAGTAACTGAACCATCTGGGTGTTATTTACAGTCGGATAAACCTATCAGTGAAACGCAGCTATTTTTTAGAGCAGGAGATACCGTGCTCAAGCTGGCCCTACATAATTTGTCCCGATTCCTGAGTGCGCACTGTATGCTGGTTACCCCTCTGTACTCTCTCGGATCGCTTACCAACCGTAAGTGCCGCGGGCGAGAGGAGGGCGAGGTAATGGGAATGGTGCCACAACAGATGCGCCTGAGAATGCCCCTGTATTTGGGATGGGGCTATGCCACAGCTTCCCCTGCCCTGGGGAGCCCTCCGCCTGCTTCGGTCTGCCGGACGGGAAGTGGCAGCCCCAGCTCCTGAGGACAGAGGGTCTGGGAGCAAAGCCAGGACAAACTGTGCCGACACAGCCGTTTGTGACACACGGTTACGTTGTCACTCCGTCCTGGGATTTTGTATAAATTCAGCTGTGCTCATCTGTGGCCTCCAGGGGCTGGTGGAGATACCCACCAAAGGTGCCTGTCTGACTCGGCCCCTCAGCTGACCCGCACCCCATGTGCTGATTGCTTAGCCTGAAGGAGAGAGGCTGGGGGCCGAGCTAGGTACGTGGAAACAAAGATTCCCGAGTTCACACCTCAGCTGGCTTTAGAAGGACACCAGACATACGGATTTATGCATCTGAAGACGGCGGAGATGAATCCCACCCTAGGTCAGCAAGTTTAACTGGGGTAAGAGTTTACTCAGCAGACCAGAGAGAGTTAGTGAAGTCTTGTATGGAGTTAAATCACGTTAAATAAAGGAAGGAAGGCCAACTAAGAAAAGATTCAGGTTAGAATTGCTTGGACTGGGATACAGGAAAAAGAATAAAAACTCAGGGACTACATTTTCTATACTTAATAAGTGGACATGGCCAGGACTGAGAAAAATAGGGGCAGTAAGTATGGGGGAATATATGTGAAGGAAGAAACTAAAAACCAGAACATCTAAGTACATGTGAGGGATGTGAAAACAGGCAAGCAGTGAGAAGTAGCAGAAGATAAAGTGCGAATGGAGACAGGAGTGCGAAAGAGAGTGGAGAGCAACGGGAGGGAGCCTGGCTGCCCAGGAGAAGCCAAGGGAACGCAGAAGTCTGGAATTCCGCCTATTAATCAGAGGTTTTGCTTGATCCCGAAAACAGAGTGGTGCATG